CATTCCCCTTCTAGAAAATGGGGATAATGGTACTTCCCTACTGCACAGGAGTGCTGGGAGGATAAATACATTAAAAATTGTGAGGTGCTCAGATACTATGCTGATGGAGGCCACATAAGTACTTCCTGTAGTCTGTACTTCATATTTTGGTGAGTTCTATTAACTCAAACAAAGGACACAGCCTGAGAGGAAGACACCGAGATATTTTATTTGAACTGCAATTCTTAACAGGACTCTATCGGTAAAAAGGAGAATGTGTTGCATCATCCTCCCTCTTCTTAAGGGACTGTAGAGCTGGCCATAAAATAATTGTTTAACAGTGTTTACAAAAGGTTAAATATAAAATCACTAGCTTCTGAGAGTCATACTGTCACGAACGACATGACTCCATCCTCAGTAGGTGTCACCTGACACTCGACTAGCCAACCAGACATGTGGAAATAAATAAAATGGCCCCAGAGACCATGAAGAGCCACAACCTACCCTCCTCCCACCCCAAATGGTTTTGTAAGAGTTTTTTCAGATATGGGTCTTCAAGGCCTTTAAGATCCAGGCCTTACATAGTTTTGCCAGGTAAACTTTTTTGTTTTCTGGTTTTTAAACATAGGCAAAATGTCATTTCACTGTAGCAAAGAGAATGGGGCAAAAATTCCAAATATATTTTTTCCATGAGAACTTGATTACCAACCTAGTCAGTTTTGCCAGTTTAAAAATTGTTTGCATCACTGTTCTAGCATCTGATATAATCATTTACAATTAATGCTTTGAGCAGGGGGTTGGACTAGATGACCTCCTGAGGTCCCTTCCAACCCGGATATTCTATGATTCTAATGCAGTTTCAAGTCCATTTTGCAACTGTGCTGTTATTTCGTGTACGGCTCACTCCTTGACTGGAGGAAATGCATATGTTACATAATATCACATAAATAAATCTACAAACAATCTGCAAGGGTGCCTCTTCTTGTATTACAGGGATAGGCCGTTAGGTTATGCCATGTGTTCCCCACCTGGCAGCTGCAAACATCTGCCCATTTTTATAACTAAATGAAAAGGGAAGGGGACTCAAAACTATGAGGGGAGTTCCTGAAACTTTTGTGGGGGGGGCGGGCTGTTTTAACATGAGGTCATGTTAGAGAAAAGTGGAGTATGTGGGTCATGCTGGAGAACAATTTTTATATTCACTATGTGGACCTCTTGCCCCAGTTGTTCCGAACCACTGTTCTGCATCCCACATCCCAGAAACAAGTCCTAACTTACCAGTGTTCTGGCCAACATATACTGCAGTTAGCAGAAAAAAAGCTTATATTTCTTTTATTAATCTGTTTCCATTGAAGGGTGTCAATGATGTGCTGAAAAAATCAAGTTTAAAAAAGCCCTTGTTATTGGCTGGATAATGGAAACCCAGCCAACCACTTCACAGTGCCTAAAGCACGTAGCTCCATGTCAATGAATCCAGTTGGTGGTGAGGACCTCCAAAAGAAGTTCTGGGATTAGAGGACATTAAAGTGCTAAGAGCCCTTACCCATCTCAGTATTTCCTCATCACTCTTGGTACCTCTTCCCATTACTTCATGTTTACCCTACTCCTGCCCTGTTTCCATTACTTTCTGCCCCTTTTCCGCCCCTTCTTTTCCTTTTTAAGGAACAATCAAAACCAACAATCCTTGAAGAGGCACTTTACCAATTTTGAAATGGTTCTTCCTGGGAGCATTTTTCATAAGGAGCAGGCCAGCAGCATCATGAAACCCCACCTACATTCACCATGATGGGGTAGGAGGCCCTAAATAATCTCGGCGACTGTGAAGAATTCAGCCTGAAGGAAACATTTCTTGTAGGGAGTCCAGACCCTGGAGGGTACATGAAGCCCTGGAATTATCCTCTTCTGCCCCATCTCTTGCTGCTTCAGTGGCTAGAAACATCAAGGCATTGGGGGTTTTAGGCTGCTGAGGTGCAATTTAATACTCTGCTCCATCCCATCCCAATTCAGCAGGGATCAAATTTGATCAACAACCGATATATACAATGTAGTTCAATGAAGCTGGCAGCCCCCTAACTATTGGGCTTACTATATGACGAGACCACTCACCACAGCGTGCATTTCCTTGTTATTTGAACTAAACTGGTTTGTGTTCTCAGACTATAAGTCCTCCAAGGGAGGTAGTTTGTTACTTTTTTAACATAGCTTCTTTTCCCCTCCCTTAGCTATTACAATGGTTCTCTTCTGAAAGGCCAATACTGTATATTAAAAAGAATGTGCTAATTATGCATGAAAATTAGGCAAACAACTGCATGCACATTCGTCTGAAAGTTTAGGCCATTCTGTTGCCAAGAATCCCTTATCCATAAGAGTATTAGCAACAGGTGATGCAGGGCATCTTTATTACAAAAGCTGTTCTAGAGTAATGCTTCAGTAGGGCCATCCACAAAGTTGATCTCACAAGATGCTAAACACCCTTAATTCTCATTTAAGGCAATGGCAGATGGAGGGCTTCCACATCTTGAAAGATAGAGATCCTTAGATAGGGGACCAAAGTGCTTTACAGATATTAACCCACAATATTAATGCAAAGTGGGTATTATAACCATTATGCAGAAGGATGAACCGAGTTACAGACAGGTTAGGAGACTTGTCCATAGTCACACAAAAAGTCAGTAGCAGAGTCAGGATGAGAAACACTGAATGGAGGCGTAGTCCTCTGCTCTAAACTCTGCTCCACTCTTTAACCTTAGGCAAGTTAATAAAAGGGAAAAAGTAGCGTGGGGAGAACCTTTGCCTCCAACTATATGGCCCAAGGTTGAAATGTAAATGTTGTTATTCTTTATTTATCTGTATTGTTATAGGTCCCAAACTTCCCAAGCTGAATGGGGGCTTCATTGTGCTATGTGCTGTGCACATAAGAAGACAATCCCTGAGATCAGGTAATACCATGGAGACAGCACTATCTTGTTTTAATACTGTCTTCAGTATTAAATACTTAACTGAAATGTGTTCTCTCTGCTACATTAATTTATGGAGGCTATATCTTAATACTGTTTTAAAAGGTATGTGTGGAGGGGGGCTAAACAGACTCAAACTATCTAAAAAGCCAGGAGACAAGTGAATTTTAAGTCCATAATTTTGCCAAAATAAACAAACATTCTTGATTGTCAATATATAAGCCACTTTTGTAGAGCAAATCTTCTTTTGTTATAAGCGATTCTATCCAAAGCAAAATAAGTCAATTAAATTTATCCAAGATTACATAATTGTAAGAAATTTTCCCACTTATTCAATAAAATCATAGAATATCAGGGTTGGAAGGGACCTCAGGAGGCCATTTAGTCCAACCCCCTGCTCAAAGCAAGACCAATCCCCCAATTTCTGCCCCAGATCCCTAAATGGCCCCCTCAAGGATTAAACTCACAACCCTGGGTTTAGCAGGCCAATGCTCAAACCACTGAGCTATCCCTCCCCTCCAAATCATGAATGGTGTGGAGAAAGTGAATAGGGAAGTTTTCATAGAATATCAGGGTTGGAAGGGACCTCGGGAGGTCATCTAGTCCACCCCCCTGCTCAAAGCAGGACCAATCCCCAATTTTTGCCCCAGATCCCTAAATGGCCCCCTCAAGGATTGAACTCACAACTCTGGGTTTAGCAGGCCTCCCCCCCAGTGTTATTTACCACCTTCACATAAGAGTATGAGGAGACTACAATAGCTATTGTATCTCCTCAATCGACAAGTCATGATGATCCAACATCATATTAGATAGCGTAGCTATTAATTTCATGTATCTCTTTTCTTTCAAGTCAAGAAGTATGAAGAGTGACAGACTGTCACTGCTGCAGATCTTAACTATTTCCAAAAAAACCTCTTAGAAATATACCATTTTTGCTGTTTTATAAGTCAGTCATTAGGAGGCAGCAAATGGCTCAAAACCATGTGAGATGATAAATGTTGTAGGAAATTGAAAAGGGATAGAAGGAACTAGGAGTGGAAAATATATTCAGGTATGAAAGTGACTTCCTGACACTCTGATTGGATTGGAGATGTCTGATAAGATAGAGCAAGCACTTTAGAAGACCTTTATTAAATTATTTGGGATCTAATCATCCATTAAACCAGATCTAGATAAACTGCACATGGTTCCTCTGATGATTTGGTAATATTAAAGACCACAAAAGGACAGAAAATGTTCACCATGTATGACTTCCCATAATATGCTTTCTAAGTTGATGTCACAATATTACACACATGTATTCACAATGATTGCCAACCAAAACATGAAAACAACACAAAATATACTTCATACCATTTCATCCAAACCAAAGAATAGTTCATGACTGAAATATTATCAAGATATTCAACTCACTTAAAGTTTTCATTAACCTAGGTATAATTAAATATCAGTGCAGTTTTTTTTTTCACATTTTACTTGCAAAGTGTTAATGGTAAGATCTTTGATAGGCTGTAACATTTATACATTTTCTCCAGTGTATAATATAAAACACAGACTAAACCAATAAGTTTCCAACATCAGAATTTCCACTGTGTCTGTGGATTGTTGTAAAGGAAAAACAATAATTGTTGCCAGCAAGCTTATATCATGTGCCGTCAGAAAGCTCTTTTAAAAATGTATTGATATCCATAAACACATAAGTGGAGAAGTGAGCAGCAATTTAGCAATCTATGCAAGTCTGTAAAGGTGAGAAGAATAAAACTATGGACTAGGTTTGCACAATTATGCATAACTCCATGTGTGGCATTTTCACATGCTGTACTATCCTCTGTATATATATGTAATATATCAGTACTATTACCAATACTGCTATAAAAGCATGCAGCTGTAGTAAAAAAACAAGGATATAGAAACAGTTCAATCAGAACTGGTATATTACATATTAATAAATGCATACTGCTGCATAACAGCAGTGTTAGCAATATGGCATTTGCAATTAATCTAATCCTTTCAGCTTCACTAGATTTAACATGAAATATTAATAAAAACAATGCACAAACTTACTATTCGTTAGATGTCCACTTTGTCCTTTGGTTTTGAGACAATGGGAAACAGTAACCACTAGGAAATCTGGTAGACAGAAATACAATAAAATAATAAATATTAATATACTGAAGAGAAGCTCTAGATTTTCTGCAAGTTCTTTTTCTCAAAATATTCCACAGGCAAGGTAAAAAAGTAAAGCTGAAAAAATATATATATATTTAAATATAGTCCAGCAGTCTTCAAGGATCCATGACTCCCAAACTTTAAAACAGTGAAAGACTCAAAATGTTGGGACACCGTGAATAGACCAAAAATCCAAGTTCTATATCACTAGTTACACAGGGTATGTCAGTAAGGAAGACCGAATCTCCAAAATAATGATTAATGTATTATCCACATTTTTCCCTCTCTCTCTCTCTTTCCCTTTCCATTCACATTTTTCTTCCTATAAAATGCCCATAGGTTTGTTCTTCCTTGTACCCTGACTCAGGCCTGGCTTTGAAATGCATTTCAATCTCGCAACACAGACTGCTTTCACTGCATTTAGAGTCCCACCAAGGCCCAGCTTTAAAAGCTACTGATTCATTTTTTCTGTAGCCTTCCTCACAAAAGAAGGGTATTTTGTAAATTACCAGCTCGTTCAGATCAACAAAAGGTACTTTCATAGAAAGCCCCATTTGATTTTGCTCAAATTTGATTACAAGGATGGAGAAAAGGAAAGGAAGTCAAAAAGAAAAACCCCAGATGGCTTTTTCATTCATCTCAGTGAATGAGCTTTATCTGTGCCTTTTGAAACTGTAGCAGTGGAAAAGCATTTCTGTTGGCTTAAAAAACTTGACAAAAATTATTGGTTTGCCATTTCTCATGTAACTGCCATTGGGAACTGGATGAAAAGACTTTTTCATGGGATCGCCTGCTTGGATCAAAATAATGGAGATTAGGTATTTCATTATAAATTACAGTGGGAGATAGAGCAGGCTGTCATATTAATAGCAACCTGCTCATGGCCTTCAATGGTAGCTATTCTCCTAGACAAAGGACCAAGGGGGTTGTCTATTGAACTTGTACTTTAGGCCTGATCAATTTTCTATCATCAAGGCAAAAGGTGAGGTGACTAACAAAAGAATTCACACATGAGTGACCTCATAAGCCTAGAGATAAAACAGCTTAAAGAAACAAAACATCCTGAAATTATGGGTGATAAACTGTATAAAAGAAAAAGAGGAGAGAGAGAGAAAGAGAAAAGGGGAGAAAAAAGGAGCTCTGGTCTATAATTCTCTTTTCCCTTCTTGGACAAATGGACAAATTAAAAGCTATTTGTTTTCAGCTGTAGATAATTGCAGCGTTTGCCTTACAATGTTCTGCCTTAAAACCTTCCATGTACTTCTTCTTCGACAAGGTTCCAGTAATTTCATTCCCGAGTAACCACGCTAATGCAGGACTTTTAATAGCCACATACACACACAAAAAGGATTAACAACAACAACACCACCACCACAAGCAGAAAGATGCCATGTAATAGGCATTCAATATGTAATCAAACTACAGGGGACAGCTATCATCTCCCCTGAGCAGGTACATTTTCTATACAAAAGCTCACTAATTAAGCAGAAATTGGACAACTAAGTTATATGGCAGGAGCATCCCTCCTAGAGACAGGAGGCCTTGACACATTTCTTTCAGCTGAGTTAATTTGTTATTTTATGCACTGTGCAAAATAACATGTGAAGTACACATGTTCTAGACAGATGCCTTCACAAGTATATTCTCCTCACAGCTTCCTAAGCTTAAGAGGGAGTGATGATCACTTTAGAACAGTGGCATTCGACTTTCAAAAAAAGAAAGAATCACTTTTTGTCATCAGTTGGAGATACAAAGAGTGAAATCCTGGGCCACTGACGTCAAATGACAAAACTCCCATTGACTTGAAGGGGGCCAGGATTTCATCCACAGAACTACACAAGTACAACCTTGATGATGTGAAACTCCCTGTTATCCAAAAGACAGTCATGGCTCCTGATATCTCCTAAATATGTTCAAAATTCCCTCAATTTACTCACTTGTTCAGTATCTTTTCCCACTTTGGACAATTGAAGCTGGATTGTACTTGGAACGCACAATTGCATGTATTAGGTTTATTATAAATAGTCAATGCATTTATCCAAGCAGCTTGCAATATGAACAGTTTTACCTTACATTAGACAGCATCAGCACAAATACAAAGGTAACCCAGCAGACTGTTTTAACTGTAGATAGAGGAAGGATGGTATGTTGGTTAGGGCAGTAGCCTGAGACCTGGGTTTAATCCCTGCTCTGCCACAAGCATACAGGGTGATCCTGGACAAGTCACTTAGCATCTCTTTGCTTCAGTTACCCATTTGTGTAACAGAAATAATAGCACTACCTCGCCTCACAAGGGTTTTGTGAGGATAAATATATTAAAGATTATAAGCACTCAAAAACTATAGCAATGGGAGCCATATAAGTACCATAGACAGACATTTTGCTAGAGCTCACTACCATATCAAGATCAGGGCTTTACATGATACTTTAGGCCACACCTTCACTACAAAAAAAAAGTGTTGTTTTCTGGTATGGGGTTTTTTTTATAGCAGGATAACGAATGTGTTATCTATGCCACTATAAAATCCTAGTCGAGAGAAAGCACCTGTAATTTTTACTACAGTGAGATAGATGAACCATGGGCTGGGTTATATGGTAACCTTGCCTAGCTACCTTGTAGTAAAACTACAAGTGTCTTGTCTCCACTTTGATTTTATAACAGAATAGCCATCACATTTCATTAATTTCATTGTAAAAAAAACCACCCTTTTTGGCAGTGAAGCCAAAGCCTGAGTCGAACACTATAACAAAGCCACATGAGAGGCTAGCAAGGGCCACTGGTGGCTGTCAAGACCAGCATTAAGTATCACCACTGTAGTGCACACACTTCTGGGGGGTTTAACTAGTGGAACAACTGATTACCATTTGAAATCAAGAGAAGCTTTAGTAGCAATTTTATAACTCCTCCATCAAGTGAGATGCAAATGAATCATTGATATGCTACCAAATGACTGCAAGATACTTACAATTTTACTAGAGCCGGTTGAAAAATGGAAAGTATATTTCACTGAAAGATTTGAAAAGATATTTGAAATTTTCCATTAAATATTTTGGATTTTAGGCAAAAAAAAAAAATCATTCCGAAAATTTTCAAACACAATTTTTGATTTGATAGGGGGTGGATGATTGAACCACTCTCACTTTACAATTATTATGGTCCCCGCCCCACGCACGCTCTCTAACTTTACTTTTTCCCCACCTTTTCCTAGTGTTAATGTCTTGTGAAAATGTTTGTTTCAGTCAAAGTGACACTCAAAAGCTTGTCTTTTCCACCAACAAAAGTTGGTCCATTCAAAAGATATTATCTCACTCACTTTGTTTCAGTTGAAGGCTTTTTTCCCCAATCCAAAAAAAAATTTTGGTTAGTAGAAAATGTTCAAAGCGGCTCTATTTAAATGTATTTATCATCCCAACACCACTTAAATTATTTCACTGTCATTCTCCTACCCAAGATGTTCTCTATCTTATTTAGAAAGATCAAAAATGTGCATTCAGAGAAGCATATTGCAGTAAATTGCATATACACAAGCCAGTCCACTAAAGTTGGGATTTAGCCAGTATAAAGTTATTTGATGAAACAACATGCATATTGTCAGAAACTAACAAACAGGATAAAAAACTTACTGTTTACTTTGCACTTCTATGGCACTATCCATCAAAGGATCACCAAGTGCTTTTTAAATATTATAGGATTAATCTTCTCAACCCCCTTGTGAGGTAGAAAAACATGATTTCCCCCATTTTACAAAAGGGGGCACTAAGGCACAAAGAGTTTAGCTGATTTACCCACAGTCCCAGAGAAAGTCTACATCAGAGCCAGGAATAGAAGCCATATCTCATCTCCCATACCTGTGTATCAACTACAGAACTTACCCTTTTGCTCATTTTCCAAATCCCCATGAAAGTATTGGGATGTTATCAGACAGCATTATAACTAAGGCAGATTGAAAGTTTTCTATCAAGACTGTTCAACAGAAAATTGAGTTTTTGACAAATGAAATTTTTCATGAAAAAATTTTCTGCAGAAAATTTTAAAAATTTCAATAAAAACCCCACCAAAATATTTTCAGCTCCAAACTAAAAAGTTTCCTCAGCTAGCCTACATTTGCCCTGATGCACCATTGCCAGGAGCTCCTATGGTGCACCACAGTGGCTCAGCAAGAGGTGAGACCATGATGCACCATGGGAGATGTCATCTGCCAGGGAGCCCACTCCATAGGGGAGAACGGGGACATGAGAAATCTGAACTATAACTCCCATGATGCATTGTGGCAGAATTTCCAAATCAAAGTTTTCAGTTTTCAGCCAGTTTTTGATTTTTTGCTAAAAAAGTCTAAAAATTTTCCATAGAGAGGGGGGAAAAAATGTTTGTGCCAGCTCTAACTGTAGCATTTAAAATGGATTAAATACTGAATGCTTGAAAGTTTAAGGAAATATAATTCTTTGGAGAGGGAGGGCAGCGGAGGGAGAGGAGAAGAGTGAAATAAGCAAGGAATATATGATGGATTTTGTGGAATGTTTTTGCCAAGTCAGCAGAGAAAAAGTCATTACAAGAATTTGTAACAGAGTTTGCAAGGGGATCATGCTACAAACCTGCCACACATCATACATCTCATGTGTCACTGTTGAATTCCCACAGAACTGGTAACATGTCATGTTTTGGGGGAGGGGTGGGACGCAGTGGGGAGGGGGGGAAGGGAAAGAGGGAAAAAGTTGCTAATGCTCAATATCCTATAGCTTAGGGGTATGGGCACTAAGCTGCAGATTAAGAGGCTGCCAGCTCCAGTCCCAAACCTTCCTCTGACCACTGTTACTCTTTCTGTGTGCTTCACAACCCTTATTAACCAAGACTTCCTATTCCTACCTGAGTGGGAGGTGTCTATTATTTACCTGTTCTACAAAGAAGCTAACTCAGAAGTTTCACAAGTTGACATTAGGCCAAGCTAAGAACAGAACCTTGGCTTACTGCATAAAGAATAGGACTGCAGAGATCTAGGTTCTATTCCTGGATCTGCCGCTGACTGGTTACATGACTTTGAGCAAGTCACTTCCCTTCAGTTTTCCCATCTGTAAAACAGGGATACTGATACTTCCTTCTTTTAGAGAGCACTTGCAGATCTACTGACGAAAAGCGCTATATAAGAGCTAAGTATTGACAGACCCAAGTCTTATGTATGCGTGTTTGTGTAACCCAGGGATCGGCAACCTTTGGCACACGGCCCGTCAGGGAAATCCGCTGGCGAGCCAGGCCAGTTTGTTTACCTGCGGTGTCTGCAGGTTCAGCCGATCGCAGCTCCCAGTGGTCACGGTTCGCCGTTCCAGGCCAATGGGGGCTGCGGGAAGCAGCGTGGGCCAAGGGATGTGCTGGCTGCCACTTCCTGCAGCCCCCGTTGGCCTGGGAACAGCAAACCGCCACTAGGGGGAGCTGTGATCGGCCCACTGCAAGTAAACAAACCATCCCGGCCCGCCAGCAGATTTCCCTGATGGGCAGCGTGCCAAAGGTTGCTGATCCCTGGTGTAACCCATATTAAC